GAATAAGATCTATTATTTGAATGCATTTTTAATATAATTCCATTTAATTCAAATTTTGATACATATATTTCTATAGAAAATTCCTCAAATAAATAAAAAAAAAAAAAAAAAAAAAAAAAAAAAAAAAACCCTATAAGTTGAGATAAATTTAATTTTCAAACTTTAAAAATATTTTTTTTTATCTTTATCTTATTCTATTTGTTTTCTTTAGAATCCAATTGCATAAGTAGAGAAATAACTTAAAAGAAAATATTCTTCTATATTTTTGAAATTGATAAAAATATTTTTAAATAATATACACTAAAATCATCTAAAAAATTATATAATACATCATTTATTAAATACTAGAAAGTAATTGGATTATTTTTAGGTCCAAAAATCATAATATCATATTCAAAATAATTATACTTAATTTAGAATAAAATTATCAATTTATATCTTTTTTTAATATGTATCAAATTGTAGATTTTTTATAAATCTATTTTATTTTAGATTTTAATTTCACTCAATTGATCAAAAAGCATCAATATTGAAGACAATAGAAAATATATTTTTTTATGACTAATTTATTGAATCTACAAAAATCCAAATAAATCTAAAAGGATATATCTTTTTTTATATAAAAATCATTGTTATTGTTATAGAATATTTTGAATGTTGGCTAAAACTCTTTGCAAGATTCTTATTAATATATTCTTTTAAAGAAGAAAATTTATCATATTAAAATTTATAAATTGATCTAATTGGTAGTTGAGTTTTTTCTTGAAGATTCATTATAAAATCATGAAATTAGTGTTTTAGTAATTTATCAATATTTTTTTTAAAAATATATATCTTGATATTTCTTATATTATTTAAAGATTCTACTTCAATCTTTATTTAAATTAAAAAAACTTGATAATACATGAATAAGTAAATAATGTGTTTTTAGAGCTTCCAAAATTTTTTTAGCTCTAATAAATAAAGGTTAAGATGGTTCATTGGCATTTAGACTAAAATTTTTTATGGAAATTTGTAATTTATATGTAATATTAAAATTATGTTATTTAAATCAAAGAAGCTCAAGTATTATTTATTTTAAAGGATTTTAAATGATCTTAAGGAAAATATCTAATACTTTATCTTCTAATGCTACTTTAAATGGCTTCTTAACATCTTTAGAAATAAGTGGTTGTCCATCAATAACATCTATTAAATCCAGTAAAATCTCCTTTGAAAAAATTAAAGTTTTATTATTGTACAAAATCTTTTCTATAAAACATATTAGAGATTCTAATATTTAAAAGTACTTAAGTTAAAAATTCATAACTTAAGTATATGTGCAAATTGATTTTATTACTTAATTTTTTCATTTCTAATCAAATCTTTGTTCTTTGTGCCTTTCAAAGAATTGAGTATTATATTTAATTACTTGAGTAATAAATTTCTCCAATGAATTTATATTTTGGCATTATTAATAATATATCTTTAACATTATTTTTTAAGCCATATTTAAACAAAATAATAAGAGCCACATGATTTTAATCTACATTTAAAGCAAGTTGTTGGAATTTGGCAATATAGATAGTAGCTAAATATGATCCTTATTGCAAAACAATTCTAAAACAATTATCAAGAAATCTTAACAAACTTATTGTAATTCTACAAGAATCTAAAATAAATCTTAATTGAACCTAAATTAAGATTATAATAGAAAGTATATAAAATAAATAAGTAAGATATGGAAAATTTATATCAAAGTGCTTTAAAGTACTTGAACTAGAAGACGCTTGACTTATAGATTTTAATATAAGAAATTGAGAATCTAGACAAGTATTTTGTCTACAATTTTCATTTTAAACTTCCTACATAAATTAGTTTAGAGTTGGTAGTGTATTAAAAACATGGCACAATTTTTCCTATTTATTAGCCATTTAATGTCTAAAAAACTTATCAAAAATAATAATGAAATAGATGAAATATACTTCTAAAGATATATTTAATTTGACGTGTTAGGATTAATTAAAAGTAATAAGGTATAGCATGCAAAAACTTCCAATAGAATCTCCTTCATAATATAATGATGTATAGGATTGATAGACATTGAATTTGTAAAACATTCTTTGAGCAAAATAAGAATTACAAAGTTTATTTCAACACAATTTAACAATATCACTGTGTGTTAGCAACATTTGCATGTGTGGCAAGCAATTAGAGATGATGAATGCATAATTGACAATAATTTGAGCATTAAAGAAACAAAGGCATTCATTGATGATATAATCTTTTTCATCAATGTGTTGAATTGATATTACAACAATATCAATAATATGCTCTTATACAGTAGAGGAAGCAAGAACGACTTTAGGCATCAATTTCCATTCCTTGTAATTGCAATTGCCTTTGAGTTTAGGAATAGTATTAAAAATGTAAGCATCTATAGAAAAACAACATGATTTTAATAAATTCAAAATATTAAAAATTAAAGAAATAAAATATTTTTAGACAAAATTAATACTCATCTTAATAATGATTATGGTACATACTCATAACTTGCCAAGTTCTAAAAACAAGTAGAATATAGATGTATGTCATAACCAAAATCTTTGTATTTTAATACATATATATATATAGATATAGATATATAATTGTCTTCCTAATAAAAAATCCTCCAAAACCAATATTCCTTAAAACTAATTAAAATTTTGAGAATCAACTCTAGCTAGAATTTAAATATCTACTGTTATTTGTTTTTGATAATTAATACTTATTTTTGTGATGGATGACATATATTAACTAGGGAACAACTATAATTACTTTGATTGCATTTAAAACTCAATTTTGAGTTAAACTTGAAATTATAAAGGTTGTCAACTTATATATTGTTAACCATTGTTAACCAACAAGCTTGAAGCTCATCCCTTTACTTACAATGTTTTTAGTCCTAAAAATATTTCAACCCTCAATCACCCAGCATAAACCAATGCCAAGAATTATGGTCTAAGTAGTTGTAAATTGCACAAAAACTACAAATACATATGACTATATCCAATTTTTTTTTTTCATTCAATTTAGTTTGATTCTATATATTCAATTTTCTTTATTTTAAGATTACTATGTTAGATTATATTAATTTAATCCAAAAAATCTCAATTGATCTATAATAGTTTAATTTTGTGTTATTTTTTCTTTAATTTTTTTTTTTATATCAAATTTTTTCTACTAAAAAATATTGTATGTATTATAAAACTAATATGATGTTGTAATAATTATTTATACATCAAATACATAAACAACACTTTAAGATAAAACATTCTACAATTACTAAAATACCAATATATTAAATTTACATCATTATTTAATATCAAAAATATTATTCATTGTTGCATGCTATACAAATACTAGTACAAATTAGTAGTTTAGCAATGGTGGACCATCTCCAAGTTACAAAATTCTAAAGAGGTTGTACAAGTTGTCCACATAACTCTTGATTATTCAGGTTAGATAATGTCTATTGTTATTATGTCTTTATCCACTTTAAACTAAATCATTAATAAATAAATAAATAATATTATTTATAAGTGATAAATATATATATATATTTTTTAATAATATTATTTTTTTAACATTATTCTTCTAAATATTAATTTATTTATGTTAAAAATTTAGAATTTTATATTTTGTATGTTTATTGCTATTTTAGCAAGAAGTTTTCTTTTTTATATTTGGACTTACAAATTGCATGTCTTATTAACTAAAATTATATGTAATCATTAATTTCAACAAAGAAACATAGAAGTGACAAACTTCAAATTAACAATTTATAACCTGATTATTATTTATAAATATTATTTATTACATGTTTGTATATTTACATGTGCAATAAGAGTCATTAAAAGCATAAAGTCCTATGTCTATTGCCAAATAGTAAGTTATACAATATTTTGTAGAGAAAATTAATTTGAAAAATGTAAATTACTATTGTGTCATTGACATTATTTCTACAATACAAAATGTTATCTTTATTTATTAAAGTAAGAATCTTTATACACATAGTTTCTTGTAAAAAAATAAAATACTTCAAATAAATAAATTATTTTTTTCTGCATTATTATATCTAAGTAGAAAGCAATTTTCATTTGTGCAACTTCAAACCTTTAGTAATAAAGTTCATATTCTTTGTGGTGGTTTTTTGGGTGTTAACTATGTTTTGTTGCTACTATTAGTAAAATATTAACTTAAAGTTGAGATTTATAGCTTTAAATATTTACTTGTATTTATTGTGTTGTATGTTGTAAAAGTATGTAAATTGTGGGAAAATTTATAGATTGCAAAAGTTCTCATTTTACTTCAAGTCCTTAAAGGTTGTGAGTTGAATTTGTTCTTAAAGCATCACATGTTACAAAAGCTTTAGAATTATCCATTTCTAAATAATACATGTAACTTTGTTGGATTGATAATATAGAAGTTTCTAAGTTGATGTATATATATATATATATATATATATATATATATCATAAATAAATAAATAAATAAATAAATAAAAAATCATTTTGGCAATTGTTACTTTAATTTTGATTATGATTGGTTTTTTGCTTGAAGATAATTTTTGATAAAAAAATAATTTGATGTAGTTGCTCTTCATAAGTCATATTGAATATGAAATATTTATGGTTAGAAATGATGTCTAGAAACCTTCAATGACAAGTATTTTAATATTGAGAAGAATCTTGTATACATGATTTGGAATTAGCTGAGACATGAGCAATTTTGCATGTTGAAAGCTTGGATTGCAATCTGGCATTCCAAGTAACTAGTTGATTCATACAGCAAGGATTTATCACTCCATAATTAATAATTACTTGTTTTTTCTTTACATTGCAGCATAGTCTTCTGCCTTGATGGATTGATTGTGAGGAAGGAAGCTAAGAAGCTGTTCTTGTTAGAATTAGTAAAGAGAAAATATAAAATGTATCAACATAATCCATTTAGGGTTTCAACCCTTGCTTTAAAGTCTGTGCAGAAGGAAGAGTTGCAGTTTTGGCGATTCCCGCGTCAGCTCGGCCATGTCAGCGTCATTTGTGATTGATTCCACTTGGTCGACGAACATTTGCATGCTGTTTTCGAGTTCAGCGTCGAGCTTGAGTTCAATTCCAAGCTCAAGAGCTGAAGGATCTCATGGTTTGTGCTTGAATGGTGGGCAGAATTCATGAGAAATAGTGTGATAGGCACCGATTTCACTAAGGTGTTGTTTTTTTTGGCAACATGGGGAGGTTTGTCGCAGAAGGATTCCTGGCGATGGTGCTGTGAGGATATTAGGTAGCGTTGCGATGTGCGGGAGGTCGTTCAAAGTCGTGGAATTTTGATTTGCTGGGTTGATTGTTTTGTCGGTAAATCGTTTCTGAGTCTCTTGGCTTGGATTCTAGCTCCCATTGTATTTCGTGACGGATTGATTAAACTCTTGAGGAGGTTTAGTTTCTCTGAGGGTTGTGAGAATGAGGGATCGGAAAGGGACCAAATCGCCGGATGCAGATTCGGCGAATGCCAGGTCTGCGTCGCAGAGGTCTTCGCGACGACCACCAAGGCCGCCGGCTGTGGGTAAGAGACGACGAGCGCAGACAGGCTGCTGCAACTGCTCACTGGGAGTTTTTCTCTTGCTCGCCTTTGCCCTTGTGTGCATTTCCTTAGTTGGGTTCATTTTTTATAAACCATGGATCTTTTTGGCGCGGACACCAACACCAATACCGAGGCCTTTGACACCGTTTCCTGGAAAGCTCGTCTCTGATTTGCCACAGGTGAATACATCTTTCTCGATTTTCCCATTTGCTAGATTTGTAAATTTTTTTGGTTGTTGCCCACATTGATAGGATTCTCATTTAGTTGGCCTTTGTGATGCAATTTGTGCAGTTTCAAGGAGACTATAGGGAGCGTATGTTTTGGGGGACCTACCGTTCTGTTCTCTACTTGGGCATCCGAGCTAGGTAGTGGGCATTTTCCTCCACACCTTGCCTTGTCATACAATGCCGAGAAATTGACTAAATCTGTGTGGCTTGTACGAGGAAAATGAAATGCTGGGAAATTCACTTTGTTCACAAGAAACAAGGAAATGCGTGAGATGCTCAGTAGCTCTCCTCAAGTGTGTGCATGGTTAGCTTCTCATACTTGATAGTTTTCTAATAGTTTGCTGTATTCGAAGATCTGTGCAGGTCTGTTTCTGTACTTTGCGTACTCGCAAGTGCAGAAAACTTCACACAAAGTACAACCTTGTACCAGAGCTGGAGCGATTAATGGGCATTAGAGAGCTGGATTGCTGCTGTCTAAGAATGTTTGAGGAGCACAGAAACTGGCTTTCTTAACCTTCGTTTGTATTTGTGTTTGCAGAACGCCGAAGTCATTGCTGGCGGGGTTGATGTGGCTTGGAGTGAAAGATAACCGCTATTCTCTGAGACATACATGCGAGGAAGGGGATAAGCTCACAAGATATGCATGGGTCCGCCACGATGGAGCCACTTATGGGCGTCAGGTATTTGCAAGACTCATTCGCTTCTTTAGCTTGATATTATGCTGAAATTCCTAAGTAGACTAAATGAGGTGAACATTCAAAAACTTTGAAACCGGGTGGGTATTCTGTATAGTTGATGTGGTGTTCCAATTATTCGGTTTTTCGCCAGCGCAGGAAATAATAGATCAAGGTCTTGCTATAACTACATCGTTCATGAAGCATGAAGATCCTAAGAGCGGGTATGGAGGGGATTGGGCAGTTCGTGTTGCAGTGGCGGAGAAAAAACGTCACAAAGAAGGGTATTCCGTGCATGTTGAAGCTCTTATTTATTCTGAAGTTCTTTCAGTGCTGTACTTTAGCAATTTTAGGGGATCACGAACAATATACAAATATACATTTAAACGTAGATGAACACATAAATAATGTAGCTGATGTAAAGGGTATGGGTATCTTGTACTGATGTTGAATGCTCTAATTAGGGTTTCTGTTATGTGTGCCTGCAGAGAGCAGATCAAGACTCCTCGACAAGTATCACTTTTCTTCTACATTGCGGATGAGGCCGGAAGTTCGTTGAAAATCTCTGGTGGGAATGGTAAGTTTGCAGCAGGAACAGCAAACGAGGTTGGTGGTTGGGAGCTTCATGTCAAAAATCAGGTACAAGTTGGAATTTGCCCTGAGCGACTCTGACCGTAGGGTTTGGAATTAAAATTTCATTTTTTAATTAATCTTTCGAAGGCATTCGAACATGCATCGGTACTCTGATCTACTCCACGTCAGACACTATGAGCCTTGAAATGATATTCATAAACTAGATTGGAAATTGTGAGTAGAAGAAGCAATCCTTGTCTTATATACTATTCACTGTGGGAGGGTGGTATTGTACTTAGCTGAGGCTTTGCAAACTTTGTTTCTGTGGGTGAAGGAAACATCATCTGCCAGTTTTGTGGGACTTCGCTGCAAACATACACACAATTTGACTCAGCTGGTCTGGCAAGTACTTGAAAAACAGGTTTGTTTTTGAAAAGAACTTTCTTTATGTTAAGATTTGACGGTCCCTTTTTAGCATTCGGTTCCTTTTCATAAACAGGTTATAATCCGAATGCCTAGCTCATTTTTCTAGTAGTATATACATTTGAAGAAGGTTGGTGCAATATTTTGCTAATCCAATGTCACCAACAAGACTTGTGTTGCTTGCGCACGTTTTTTTAACTTCTTGTTGGGTCGAGGATGTGGTTTGTAGTGCGTTTTTTTTACTTTTTTACTTTTTTATTTCAGGCACGGACACAGGGTCGTATCGAACTGCCGAATGCTGCTGAGAAGTCGTCAAATTTCGCTGCCATTCAGGTACAGGCTTCTTTCCTTTCATCTTGTTGTTAAATGTGCATATGCTTAAGATACTTGTTTGCATGTTTGTTACAAATCTCATTCTCCGTTACATTGCACCTATTATCCCTAAGTGAAGCTTCCATCACGAAAGACATTTATTCCTCTTGAACCTTAATGTACCTGAATACATTGTTCCTAATTTGCATACAGGTCACTGGTGTGGCACCTCTATCGTTCGATGTTGTCTTTGTATCTGGTACAGAGAAACACACTGTTGAAGCTAGCGAACGTGTCAAGAACCTTTCTGGTATATTACTAAACTTTTGCCTGCTTCCACCCGGAAATTAGTGCGACAATGAATTGCCTTCGTACAATCGTGGCTTGTGTCGATTTAGCCTGTCATGAGGAGCAGAGTTTTTTGGTTGCAAAGTTTGTGAACGAATGCCATTCGCCAACTTAGAGGTATTAGAGTCAGAAAGTATGGTATTATATAGTTGAGGTGCATTCAAATCTTGCAATTGAACCTCATTCTGATTCTGGAATTCTATTGCTGTGCTTTTAGCCGTGTAGAGTGTAGCTCAATACGGTCGTTTGAAGATAGTATCTTATTAGTTTTTCCTTTTTGTAATCTTATGGTCATTATGGTATCAACCTCATGGACTGGTTTTTTGTTGAAATTAAATTACCCCGCGTTTTATGGCCTTGCTGTAGGTGTGAATCTTACAAAAAGATTAACAGAGCGTGAAGAGATGTTCGAAAAGCGGTTTCAGTCAACCTTTCATTTGCAAGACAAGGTATATTTTAAGTTTTAGCTTTTCTGGAAGATGTTTGCACAGAGGAAACCTCGACGCTTTGGAACAATTGTTGCGGTTTGGATTCTGACATTGTAAGCAATGTTTTTCAACGATGTACAGGTAAAGGGTGAAAGGGAGGTCGAAGTTGGGCGGGTTGCACTTAGTAATCTTCTGGGCAGCATAGGATACTTCTATGGGCAGTCTTTGATAGCAATTCCACCTGAGTATCAAGTGAGTACCAAACGTTTCTTGTCACTTAACGATGTTCAGTGCCAAATTTGTTGCGTTCCCAATTCAGCAACATTCTGCACTACAAATAGAACATGGGCTCATTTAGATCTTATATGTGCATCTCTTCGCACGGACTTAAGTGTCTTGTTGTACAAGTCATTAACTGAAAATTACGAAACTATAATTGATAATTTTAGTTTATGTCTCTACTATATTGAATGAAAGCCTATCTAACAGCAAACAATTGATGCGGTAGGACTCGGAAACAAAAGATGGAGACGTGTGGAAATACTGGCCAGCGGCATTGTATACTGCTGTCCCTAGCCGCTCTTTCTTTCCACGTGGTTTCCTTTGGGACGAGGGTTTTCATCAGCTCTTGGTCAGGTAAGACCGGCATGTATGTATACCTCATTTTGTATTAGAGTTTGCGAATCAGAGAAATGCAAGCAGTGCCTCGGGGTTTCCTTTATTGTGTCTTTAAGGAAAGTTAAGGAGGTTTCTGTGTTTTGCAAAATCCACAGTTGTGGAAATTTTAGTAGAAAGTACAGCTTATAACTCCTAAATTTCGCAGTCGATGGGATCGTAAAATGAGTAAGGAGATTATAGCTCATTGGTTTGATCTTCTCAACATTGATGGTTGGATTCCCCGTGAACAAATTCTTGGAGATGAAGCTCGCAGGTGTGTATTTGATGATATTGCAACCACTCACGATGCAAATTTCACTTCCTCTCGGCTTGGTAGCGTGCAAAGTACTCCATTTGTTTTAGACGTTATGTTGCCAATATATATTTGCCTGCACATATGTCATGGATTTTTACGTTGTGATTGCAACAAACTATGCTCGTACAAGGAATCGAACATATCATTTAAATAGTAGTTAGGATTTATCGAATTAGGCTAATATGATGGCTTGATCTGTGATTTCAGCAAAGTTCCTGATGCTTTTGTGAAGCAACATACAAGCAATGCTAATCCTCCGGCACTATTCATGGCTATACACAGTAATTGAATTCATTCTTGATTCTTTCTTTCTTAACTTATCTCGTGCTTAATTCCAGAAAATCTGAGTGCCTTGTTTTCTACTCCTGAGTTGTAGATACATTCGAATGCTTTCTCATTTGTTTTAGTTACTACTAGGCTAATTATCATGGTAAGCGTATTCCTCTTTTCAAAGTTTCCTTCAGTGCATCTAAGATGCGTTTGAAGATTTAGATGTCTAGTGGCTTGGTTTGTGCAGAACTTGCGACAGCGTTTGAGATCGAGAAGTCTTTAGGACTTCCGAACGAAGAAGATAGAGTATTCTTTGAGAGATTGTATCCAAGACTTGAAGCTTGGTTTAGGTGGTTCAATACCTCTCAAACCGGTGTGCTTTCTTTGCCTAACTATAATTCAATGAATTGAAAATTGAGTTCTTAAAGGATTCGGCTTATCTTTGGTACTTGCACATGAACGTCTTCACTTCTTATATCCTCTATGTCTTGTATGGGTGCCTCTGCGGGTGCTTCCGACTTCCTCCTCAGTTTCATTATTTAATTTGGTATACGTTGGAGCATGAAGTTGTGATAGGAGACTTATTGCTAATGAATTGGAGGGTGAGCAGGTAAGGAAACCAGCAGTTACTACTGGCATGGACGCAATGCTCAAACTAAGCGTGAACTAAACCCAACTGTGAGTTAAAGCTGGATTATTTTCATCTGATTTCTTGTGGATGTTGTTAGTTGTTGAAGCGATGTTGGCGTTGAAGTAGAGTCGTATGCTTGACAATCTAGTCTAGTCAGTTTTGAATGTACTGAGATAGATATGTGACAATGCGACGTAGATATCCATCTGAGAAGTTTCTTTCATTCTTGATATGATAACTCGATTCGTACAAGACTTTTTAATTATTTTCGTTGTGGTAGACCTTGATGTCAGGTTTGGATGATTATCCAAGAGCATCTCATCCTACCGATGATGAGCGACATCTGGATCTGCGGTGCTGGATGGCATTGGCTGCGCAGTCATTAGCCAAATTAGCCTCCATTGTTGACGCACCAAATGAGGTATTTTGGTCCTTCCTTCAGATTTGACCAAGACGACCGTGTGGTAATCACTTTGTTTGATTGTTAACCACTTAATTTGTTCAACATGATTTGCCTTTTTGCAGGTCTACGTAGCAACCGCAGCTCAGCTAACAGATTTGGATCTGCTCAATAAGGTAGAACTGGGTTATTCTTTTGCACGCTTCTTTTTAATTAAGGTGTCTTCACTTATTCCTCCCTGGAAACTTCATCTGGTGAATGTTGGGTTCCATCCAGTTCTTCGTGAATTGATATGAAAGTTTAGTGATACAGTTACCTGTGAGATTTTTGCAGCTTCACTACGACGCAGGAAGTGGGCGTTACCTGGACTATGGACTCCACACTGAAAAGGTATGGCGTTTTCCTTTTTACCCCTGATACCATTTTGATGCCCTATCAGTTATCTTGTGTGTCTTCACTATGTCTAGTTTAAGGTGGTTCTGAAGGATTCAGTCCAGAGCTGCTTCGTAGATTACATTTCATGCTCATTATCTACAAGGTTTACCAGATAATCACGTTGTATTTGAAATCAATAGCCTGCGCTTAGCACGAGTAGAATGCCCAGATTTGAGAAAGTCAATGGACTTTATGCAGGTGGAGCTTCAGCGGAAGAATTTTGTGGATCCTCAGACAGGTTTTATGCAGACAGAAGTAGAGAGGGTAGTTTTGAAACCTCCAGAGCTGGGTTGGGTCCCACACTATGGTTACAACAGCCTCTTCCCTTTGCTCATGGGATTGCTGCCCCTAGTAAGTCATTCTGAAGTAATTTTGAATCTTTCAATGTATCTCTCGTCTCTCATTTTTTGAACCTGTTGGAGGTTCCACGCTGCCTCTCACTACAGTAACTGCCTAAAACTTTCCGGAGATTCTTCACCGTGATGATTCTCTGCACTCAAAGGTTGCTGTATTTGTGTAGGACTCGCCGATGTTTGCAAATCAGATGGAGCTTCTACGGAATGAGACCAATTTATGGACCACCTTTGGACTACGGTCTCTTGCTACAACAAGGTATTACTTACTATACATCTTAGTCATCAACTGCTTCAGAATGTTTCAAGATGCACTGTAGCTCATTTGTTGCAAAGGATCGCTCGTTCTGTCATTTTCATCTTCCACTTCCAAATATATTCAATCTAACCTATTCTACGTGAATACATTCTTTTCTTTGTAAACAACGCTCATGATAATTTAGTCCATTATTTCTACCTTGTAATTTCTTTTCAAAGTGAATGAGTGGCATTTTTCATTATGGTGTATGTCCTCAGTTTCTGTCCTTTGCTTAGTGTTATAATATGGACTATTTTTCTTCAGTGCGCGTTGGTAATTTTTTGCCATTAATCAGTGGACTTTCAACATAGCTCTTGCAGTTGGCCTGTGTAGCATGTGAAAGATACTTACCTCACTTGTGTTCATGATTTAAACCGGCTAAGCTCGTCCCACTATTACATCTTCGGCGTGACGCCATTTCATCGTCATAACTTCTGTGTTTATGGGTTGCTTTTTTGTTGCGTATAGTTCTTTATATATGAAACACAATACAGAGCATGATGCTCCTTATTGGCGAGGACCCGTTTGGATGAACATCAACTATCTTGTGCTCTCTGCACTTGACCATTGCTCAAAAGGTTGGTGCAAGTTGTACCTGTGCCATTTCAATGTTTTCTTTCTTTAGAAAAGGCAGGAGTTGCTGTTCGGGTGAATTCACTGTTAAGTTAAATTTTCTTATTTAGATGATTCGAACTTGTATCAAGTGGTTCTCAGGAATCTTATAGAACTTATTCACAATTTCTTTTGTATTGTCCACAACAAACTGCAGTTGATGGCCAACATAGCAGCAAGTGCAGTGAAACGTATTCTCAGCTTCGTGCTCATCTAATCAGGTGCATCAAAGTCACTATACAAAAATGTTCAAGCATGTTCAGGATGAGTTTTGTGTCAAGTTCTAAAATGCTTGATTAATACATTATTCTATTAGTATTCTGATGTAGTATTATTTTAACTGTTGCGTTTGCAGAAATGTGGTGAAACGGTACCACGAGAGCGGATATCTTTGGGAGCAATATGACAACGCAAACAAAGGAAAGGGAAAAGGGTCACATCCATTTACTGGCTGGACATCACTAATACTTCTTATCATGAGTGATTCCTATTGAACTGTCGATTTATCTCCTCACTTCACAAGTAGACATGACGTTGCGCTTGGGTAGCTTACAGCTTCACTCTATGGACCAACGGATATGTTTGCGTAGTGTTTCCAGCTTGTGCAAATAGTATCGTTATTGCCACACAGCTAGCGATTAGGTGAATTAACGACCTGGCAATTAATATTTGCCGATGCATTGTGTTCAATTGTGAAATTTGGGCACTTGAGATACAGATTTGTCCAGCACGCCCTCGAGCAACGTGTAAAATTTCTCTCAAGTCTTGAACTGCGGAAGGTCTAATGTAGTTCATTGTCTGCTTGACAAAAGAAAGATGTATCTGCTCCCTGGCAGACGACACACTAGACCCAAAGATCGTGCTTGATGATGAGGACAGTTCTTTTGGAGCATTTTCTCTATCCGTAAAATTATGAGTTTCATATTAGATTTAAGTAATACGTGACTGATTAATTTTAGAATGTACACCTTTTGAATATTGATTTTCCACCATTTTATTAGATGAACTGGGACACACACATCCACCTAGTAACTATCATGTTATGGTTGTTACTTGCTCAGCAAAAACAATTAATAAATTTACGAGTATATACATATTAAAGTGTAATTGCAACAATAATAATCATTTCTTGTGTCCTTTACAACTTTTTCTCCTTTTTTCTTTTAACTTTTAATATCAACAAAACATTTAAATGTTATCTTAAATCTTTAATATTTAGACTTTTATATTACAATTGTGATTAATGTCATGAAAGTTTAAATTATTTGTATTGAACTTGCTTATAAACTTAAAAATATGTATCTCCAAAAGTCAGACATCAATCTAAAATTCAGTACTAATGATAATGCTTTTGTAATAAGATTTTGTCATACAAAATAAAAATTGAATTTGTGTATATATATATATATATATATATAAACAATTTTTTGACAACTTGTACTTTTAAAGGTACATAGTTATTCTAATAAAAAAATTGATAAATCAAACTACAATATTATTATATTTTTTGTGGATATTTATGTTTTCTCTTTAAATAAATCTATTGAGAATATTGATTATTCTAAGTAATGAATATAAGAATAAAAAGAACTTTAATTTCTCAAAACATTTGCATTTCAAGACCCAATATAAAGCTTCTAAAATAAATGTAAATTAATTTTTTTAGAATTTTTATAAAATGAAGTCAATCATTGCAAAATCAATTTTATAAAATGATGAATTAATTTTTTAATATCTTGATCTGAAAAATATCTTTCCAATTTTTTAATCAAATAATAGACAAGAATATTCTTATAAATATCTTCAACAAATGTTGTAAAAGGAATTCTCTTCTTTTATTCAAATTAGGTATTATACTACATATTGTAAAACAATTATATTCTTGAGTTTATTAATACTCAACACTTCTTAAAAGATAAAAAATTATGTATATATATATATATATATATATAGGGAGTTGTTGAAGCTACTCCTTACAAACCACATGATCATTAATTTTGGGAGATAGAAAAGGAGGGATGGGAATAGGGAACAAGGCACAAGGATTGGGAACCAAGAAGGAGGGACATGGAACAAGAAACAAAGACAAGAGTAGACAAAATTGATCATGAGATGGTAATGTGGGGTATGGCTTAAATGACGTTGAGATAAGACTTTAGCAACTCCCTATATATATATATATATATATATATATAATTTATCAATGGTGTTATTTTATTATAAGTTTGACCATTTTCTATATTCTTTTAAGTCAAAATTTATAGATTCTTCAATTTATCTCACTTTGGTACAAATAAGTACAAAAAAATATTTAATTTGGTAAATAAAAATTCACAACACCATTATATATAAATTAATAAGCTTCTAATTGTAAATTATTTTGATAGGATGTGGTCTATTTAATGCTTTGTTTACACCAATGATTTTTGGTAATCCAAATAATTTATTGTTATTATTTGTCATTGTTCCCATTATGTATGTCTATTATATAATTCTCATGTCTTATCTCATTGCATATTCTCTTGATTCAAGTTCTTAATTTGATGATTCAAATTCTTAATTTGATACTTTTACCCAAAGTGACTAAATTCCTTTGAAAGATTAAACCAAAATTATATTTGCACTACAACTTGCAATTCTAAACCTTACAACCCAAATTAATGTTTGTAGACCATACGAAATCTCTTGGAAACATTATGTTTTTACTCATGTGGGGAGAAAATGGCCGATTCATGCAAGTTATCATTTTAAGAGATTTGTTGAATTCCAAATGGTGTCCTCTTTGGATATTTAACACTCATTGTAAGCAAAAGCAAACACAATGAGGCAACTTTTTTCCACGAAGTATAAGGAAAGGCGACCTTGGTGAAAAGTTAAAGTAGTGCATGAAAGGTTTCCACCACGACCAAGGAGCAACACACACATCGCACGAGACAAGGAGGGGCGTCGAAGAATAGATGAGCAATGCCATCGAATTCTTCGCAACCCGGCGCGATCGCGACACCCTTGTTATCGAATTCCCCACTTCGACAACGCTTCCCACATTATTGCGACTCCAAAGAACTTGCTCATCGAACCAACTCCGTGGAGTTTTGACTCATTTTCGTGCCTTCGTTGATGGAGGATTCGACTTTACCTTACGTCGCATTTTGAAAATCCAATTCCGAAGTTTGCACGACAGGTTGCGGTGTAGGGAGAGCAGTGAGGACCTCGCGACAACCGAGGAAGGGCAGGAAATTTGAAATCAATTGGGTGTGCCTGGTGGGCTCGCGCGAATTCTTAAAGCGGGGCTGGAATTTCGAGGTATGGAGCTGAACTGTATCTTTGAAGTGGCTGTGATAGGGCTAGGATTAATTGGCTCGGCAGCTTGCCGCTACCTGTCGTTGAGCTCGGATTCTGTGCTAGGAGTTGGACCGCCAGAGCCGCGAGATTGGAAGACCCACACGGGGGTGTTCGCTTCGCATTACGATGAAGCACGGCTCACACGCGTCGTGGACAAGGATGATGTGTGGTCGAAGCTTGCAGCGCGGTCCATTGAATCTTACAAGTCCGTCGAGGCGAGTGGCATCAAATTTCATCATCCCGTTGGATTTCTCCGAGTGACCCCGTTCTATCAAGAGCAAGGAGATACATTGTTGGCGGCGTACGAGACTGGGAAACGGAATGGTGCGGCGGTGGAGCTTATCGAAAGCGGAGGGGCGGGGTATGTGAATCCCAGGGCTTTGGTGCAAGCCCAATTGGAAGTCGCTGCAAAGCATGATGCACTTATAGTGACAGAGACAGCGGTGAGCATTGAACCCACCGAGAGCGGCGTGATAATCACCACAGACAGCGGGAGGTTACTCCGCGCAAAAAAAGTGCTCATCTGTGCCGATGCATACTCCAATTCCTTGCTCCCGAATCGAGAGCTGGCCCTCACGACACATCTTGTGTCGGTTTTGCTAGGGGAAGTGGACACGGAAGAAGCGGAGAAGCTGAAAAGCATGCCTTCCATCATCTGGCGCCTGCACAATCATCCTTACTTCCACTCCATCTACGCCTCTCCTCCAGTATCCTACCCCGACGGCAAGCGGTACATAAAGATCGGCGGACGGAGTGGGAACCATACCGCAAATCGTCCTCTCAGGAGTTTGTGGAATGGTTTCACAGCGACGGCCGGCCGGAGGAAACGAAATCGCTCCACGAGGTACTGGTGGGGCTTTTACCGGACACGCCCTTCAAGTCCTTCACTAGGAAGTCGTGCATCGTGACATACACTGCCACGAACTATCCTTACATCGCCGCTGTGGATGGGAAACGCGAGGCAGACGCGCAAGTCTTTGTGTGCACAGGCGGATGTGGAGCCGCAGCCAAGTCGTCTGATGAGATCGGCCGCATGGGCGCCCTGCTCGTCTCGCGCGGCGCATGGAATCACGATTTGCCCAGCGATCTCTTCAAGCCAGTTTCTGCTGCTGTCAAGCGTAATGCAGGCACGACACCGCCGCAAGCTTGATAGAGCCTACCGCACATGATCGATGCACAGGTATGGTAACAAATTTCGAACCCGAAGCTTTGAGTTGCAAACTCTGTGGGAGAACCTCATACCCGAGGATATCCGATGATACTAATCATAGGTTTTTCTTTCCATTTCTAGTATAAATATTGAGTTCTCACAGAACCATGAATTCAACCATTAATAACCAGACGAAGTGCTCGCGACCTGTACACAGAAATGACCATTTTCACACAGAAAACGCTTTAAATAAAAGATTCCAAACCTATGAATACAAGAGTAAGACCACCTACTACTTCGCCATGGAATATAGGTGCAGAAAAAGACAAAGGGTTTGCAACATCTGTGATGATGGAAAGACTGATTGAATTTGAGCATTAGGAAAATTACAATCCGCGTCAATGTTAAATATACAGCAGGATTTCATAACTCTCAGACTAACAAAATGATCTTTAGTGCAAAGTCCTAGTTCATCTGGCTAAGGAAGCGGTTGAGCAGATCGTCGCGGCTTCCGGCGTCCCCAGACTCCGCATAGTGTTGTTTCTTCTTCAGACCTCCCAAGGGGCAGCTTAGCTTGAATGGCAACAAGAAACTGTTGGCTTCCTTGAAGTGGGGTCCAACGGAGTAAATCTCGTGGACGAGATCCTCAATACAAATGATACCGAACTGTCCAAGTGCCTACAAAAAATTCGACAGATATAATCAGGTGAGATGTCGTATCTGTAAACGTTCACGCATCGAAAACTACAATCCTGTCCATTATAAAGTAAACCCCATCCACTGGGATATTTCGCACGCCCAACCGATGTCACACTGAGAACCTTGGGTTAGCTACATAGGAACGGTAACACATGTTAAATTCCCAACTCAACTTAATTTAAATATTCCACAATAATCATAGCTTTGAGTAATCCACAAAGAACTACCCATGTCATTCCACCCGAGTAAATAAGATAGTCACTATAACAATACCTTTTCGATGATGGTGTTGTCCGTAAGAGCGGTGCGCGACTTGTTTACATTTCCGTACCCACGCTTGTAGATCAACTCCCGGACACTCTTCAAGTTCGGGTTGCTGCAAGTACAATCATGGTAAAACATGTGAAAAATTTAAACTAACACATAGGGGTGCGAAAAACATCTTCGTAGGCACCGAAACGCTTATATTATTAATTGCTCCAGAGTTTAATTACCCGTAGATCACATATGGCTCCACTCGTCGCAACAAGCTCATGGTAGATTCGTTGACTTTCAAGAAAACCCCATCGAATGTCTGCAACACACATCCTTCATGTCATGAAAAGGTCGACTATATGGCGGCTGATTCCCAGTACCCTAAAACTGAGCATTCCAATTTCATTAGGCAATTAAACAAAAGAGAGGCATATGAAAGTTCAAGTAAAGTATTCTTACCTGTTTCAAGCGCAACAATTGCATGGTCTTCCTAGTCTTGGGGTGCATATTATTCACACTGGAAAAAGCATACGAATTGAGTCACCACCACTGAATGAAATGATCATAAATACCTTCCTCGTGCTACTAATGACCATGTCTAGTCTAAGCAGTACTTCTGAAGTTTCGGAACCAGATTGGTTAACGGATAGAGTATGATGACCGACACAAAGCGGGAGTAGTTACCACAACTAAAGAATGTTTTCGTAAGCATCAGAAACCCAAATCCCAAAGTCATACAAAGTTCCACCACTGAGAAGAGACGAGGCATCCACAACCTCTCACGTCAATCAATTCGGCAAACTAGTCGAAAACAGATTCTTACCCACGAATACGAATAATAAACATCAGCTTGCCCTCGGGCAAAACGTTTGATCTGCTCTTCACCTTAAGTTCTTTCTTCAGCCTAATGAAGTCGGCCTCCTGTTCAACGCCCAGAAATCACCCGTCAATAACGCCGCCAAAGCCTAAACCCCAGTATATCCCAACGTAGAAAACCAATTTATGAAACCAAACATTGCCTCGCACCTGGCCACGGTACTCTCTGATGAACTGCTCCGCTCGCTTGAAAATGACCTTGCGGCTCTGAGAATTTTTGTTCTTTCCAGACTCCAATAGTTGCTTGCGGTTGATGGCCCACTGCTCATCGCGCTTGCGCTTCTTGAGCAAAGTTTCAGGCACTGTCTTCATGGGCGTCCCCGCAGCAGGGGCGGCGTCAACGGTAGAGCTCTTCTCAACCTCCATGTCGGCCATGGAATTCCCTCTTTGCAACAAATTCAACAACACTGGCCTCTACGCAGGCAGAGGAAGTGAAGGGAAAGAACGCTGCCAATTGCTAGACAGACGTCTTGGCTTGAGCTCCAAACCCTAATACCCCCAGATATCCGACGATCACAATTGATAACCTTGAATACCCCCCATTAGATGAGAACCGGGACAACCATCCAACCGCGGGTGTATAATATCAACAGTATTTGATTACATGTATAATATCACACAAAACTGCCTTTATGAAACGACTTTCTGGGATAATTCGGGCACAAAATATCTTTCTTAAAATTATAATTGAATATGATGCATCTGTAATTTGAAAAAGGTGTGAATATCTTACGCAGCTAATCACAATGCGTGCTAATATTATTTTCTTTAGGGAGAATTAGAACTTGAAATTTTATCCCTTGTCGATTGCTTACATTCATTTCTTTCTACGATTCATGAATTGTGTTAAGTTATGAGTGATGCGTGTCTGTGATTTGTTGTATTTTTAATATTAATCAGTTTTTAGGCAAATTTAATTAATTCGTAATGACTGATGTGATTCTGCTAGTGTAAAAAAGATGGCATTATGCTCATCTTCTGAACATGACTTTTCTTGTGTTCAAACGTGTAAGGGGAACATGTAAAGGGAACATTAAATAATTATTGGAAACACTAGCTTCACATATACATATATTACTAATATTATCATTTATTTATAGGTATTGTTAATGTTATCATAGTTTTTGCTAATACCACCACAATTTGCCACCAACTTGACATATTTTTAAAGTTTTTTTAATACATTTTTATATATGTTAATATTTTAATTATATATATATATATATATATTTTCAATTTATGTAAAAATTGTAATTAACTCTGATAATTTTGTTTTAAATAATTAATAAGAATAAGTTGCAGCAACATTACCAAAAACTATGGTGACATTAACAACACCCATATTTGTATACTCATTGGTGTCCCTTCATGCCATTTACATGACAAATCACAACCATAGATTCAAAAACAAACAACTTGATGAAGAAGAAAAATAAATTGCAATAATGGTCAAATTGTGAAAATTTATTTTATTTCATATTTCCCACCAACATTTTCACAAAGAACTTAGATGCACTTCCAGCTAAAATCTCACACAACACACACCACACAAGAGTCACAACACCACCACCACATCATCAGAAGCAATCAAAACCCATCTCTTATTCAACACATCCCCCATAACGCAACCCTGTAAAGAAGGAGATGAACAGATTCACGGATGCACAGATAAACGGGAAGATGAGTGATGCGGGTCTGTCAGTCGGTCGGTCGGTCAGCCAGCTGGCGCCCAGCGGTAGAGGAGCTGGAAGACGCCGTCCTCCGGGGTACCGTCGCGCTTGGCGCGGTAGAAGCCGTCGGGGCGCACATCCCACACACAATTCTTGCAAGGGCGACGATGCTCGCCCCAGAACCCCACATCGGACCACACATCGAAGGTCTGCGCGAAGCTGCTACTCCGCGCAGCACCGGGACCCACCTTGCGAAAGTAGCACCAGAAGAGCGTGGTCCCCCAGAAGTTGGACTTGAATCCCCAGCTCCATGTTTGACCCGGTCGCCGCAGCCACTTCTCCCCGAGATCATCGTCCTTCGACATACAGTGCATCCACAGCTCTCCGCCCGCGTTGTTCACGATGTTCACCGACATGTGCTCGTGCATGACCCCCTCCGCCGTGGTGCAGCTTAGCATTGCCATGAGGATGTGCAGCAGCACGCACAGGCACACCCCCATTGCTGATGGTTTCCCCATTTGCTGTGATTCGCCTCCACCGTCGAAGACGTACTGTGAACAAAATTTTGCAGGAGTCAGCTTTTCATAGGCCAGACGTTTTATTTTATGTTTTTATTTATTTTTGGTGGGTTTTTGGTACCATTCTTTCATAAGTTGCGGTCATGATCTTATGCCTAGAACTGCGTTTGTCTGCCTCCTCCAACTGGGTGGAATTATTGCCAGAATTTTCTTTTCGGCAAAAAAATCACGTTAGATAATATGCATCGTCAGCTGAATCTACTTGTAGTAAAATGGGCAGTGTTCGATTCGAGTTGGTGAGAGTGCCTTATCTCTGTAAATTTAGTCACAGCGCTTCAATCCTAGAATCAAGACAAAGTTTCATTGAACAACATGCAGACAGATCTGAGGCTCTGCAACATTGATCATGCAATAGTTCTCTTTTGCGTAGTAATGGAATTGCTGCAGCTAATCGACTCAGGTAAACAAATGTTCTCCACCAGCTACAAGGATCACAACATTCTAAACATGGCATACTGAGTCTCAGGTAACCCGAAACGAGGGCTCAAGCATTGGTAACACACAGGGCAGACGTGAGGAGAAATCAGACGATAGAGGAGAACAGCGAGTTCAGTGCATGAATGGTAAAGAAAAGGGTACCGAAGGAAGCAATGGGCGAGTTGTTGAGGCTCGTGGACTTTTGGATCAGTTCGAACTGACCCCATCCGGAACTCAAACATATAGCATGCAAGGCTGCAAGAAGCCACCGAGGTTAGAGTCGAATGTTTCCGTACTGCGACAGGGAGTTGGTTGCAAGACCCGAACGATGCGAATATGCTGATCAGACGGAGATCAAGTTCAGTTAGAAGACGTCCCGACAGTCATCTGCAAAAACGACTTGAGAAGACATTGCATATTCGGTTTCCGATGTCCGAGTCCCATCGTTCTCAAGTGCCTGCTTAGCGTGCCCTCCTCTTTTCCATTGCTCGGAAAGCTGTTAGGCCACCAGCATCTCCCTTGAGATATCCAAAACCAGAGTACGGCAGCAGTGGAGTACTTCAACGGTTTCTTTACTGTTCTCCAAACTCCACTTCACCAGAGATTTCACCAGAGCAGCAAAATCTCTCATCTATTGTAGTTTCCCGCGCACAATAGTTGTCTCAGCTCAGTGCAGTAGAAAAAGAAAAAAGCACACAACCGCAAGGGTTGATGGGATTCATTTTGGAAGGGTTACTGGGTATGCTCTGAACTGCTTCTTCCGAAGTCCATAAATTATGCAGCAAGCACATGGTTTTTTAAGACAAGTTTGTTTCAAAGAAACATCGTTTTTGAGTTAACTACGTCAGTGAGGAAATGAAATGCAACTTTCAAAAACCTAAAAGCATCTCACATTAGCAACATTCTTAAAGTTTTTTTTTTTTTTTTTTTTTTTTTTTTTCCCCTTACGACTAATGCATGGACGTTTATTCAATGCCATAACTCAAGCCTTGATTAATGCTTCTCGTCATGAGCCATTCTTCAGCATCTCGACCTGCCCATCTTTCCAGCTTCATACGCTACTTAAACCCTAAGCATCTGCAACTATAACCAATTTGTTGGGCTCTCTCATCTCCAAACACGTTGGTTTCTGGCTACTGCGAAGCTTGATGCATGCTCTCAGCAATCAATAGTTCAGGGTTTTTAAATTATTAATGTTAGTGTTTTATGTTTCATTTCATTAAATGTATCTTCACATCAGAATTAAGATTAAAGTGACAAGTATATATTGAGAAACTTTATAATTATATTAAAAATAACTTTCATATTTATAAACTACTTCTTTAGATTTTTAAAAACCTATAATTAATATGAAGTATGTAACAAATCAATAATATTATAATAATATTATTTAAATTATTTGGTTTTTGTATTATTGAAGCTTTTAATGAGTATTTAAAACATGGCTTAATAAGTGCCTTGATAAGATTGTACATGGTCTTAAACTTATTTTTGTATTTACCAAATATAATACTTAATACATTTTGGACCAAATTCTAAGTATCTTACTAATTAAAATAATGAAATTTTTATTTAGAGAAGTTTAATGAAAATAAAACAAATATTTGACTATTATGTGTTAAGGATATAAATCAAAATATAAATACCTTAAAACATTCTTGTATAACTCAAGAAGAATAAATATTCACTCCAAAAATAATATAGTATTATGACTAGAATGGCTATTATTAAAGATAAGAAGAATATGGACACTTGAAACTAGACTAAGAATAAGAAAGACATTAACAAGAATGAAGAAGGCTTCACTCTTGCCTCCATATGTACTATCTAAGAGCTACATCGCAATATTTTATAGGACCTCCAACACGTGTCTAAATTTCAAGATACATGTCTTAATTTATAAGACAAGTTTTTTTTTATGTGTGCTATATACTTAGCTTATTCCACAAATATCAAGGACATGAATCTCAAAGAAAGAGATTCTTAATATACTCTTATATTACTCAAAAGAACTAAAAAATCACTCAAAGATGATAAAGTATTACACTAAAATGGCTATTGCTAAAGACAAAAAGACTAGAAAGTCTTGAAACAAGATTAAAAATTAGAAAGGCATTGAGAAGACTAAAGAAGGCTTTGCTCTTGATTCCATATATACTCCTAATTAGGAGCTATATAACGATGTTTTATAGGATGTCCAAAATATGTTGACTTTATAAGATACATATTTTAACTTATAAAACAAGTTTTTACATGTGGACCATATAGTTAGCTTATTTTACAAGCTACCAACATATGGTTAACATGTTGACCAAGTTTCTAATCTATCAATCAACTACAAGTATATGTAAGGTGAAAGCAACTTCTAAGAAGCTTGTTGAGAAAATATTATAAAATAAATCTATTTTTATCTACTTCTATTTAATCATATAGATAAATATTAGAATAAATATGCATGTCTATGACATTATATCTTTTTTAAAAGATGAATTCCATAAAGAGTAGCCATCATATATTGAGAAAATTCAAATTACGGCTAATTGTATTTGCCACATGCTCTCATTTGTATTTTCTTTGAAGATGATTGATAGATCCTTTGAGACATCAATAGTATCTTTTATTAGGAGAAGAAGACCACCTTATTATTTAATTTTTATTGAGGCCTTTATAGCTTCTTTTATATAAGATATTTGGAATGTCGTCAAGAGATGTTCCTGCCTCTAATAAAATCATCAAATATTAAAAGTCTCTTTCAAGGTCAAAATAAAAAAAGGTCCAAACTTACAATAGTCCAATTTGTTACAAAGACAATGTCATGTAGTAACACAAGTATATGGTGAAAAATAAAAATATAGATGTTATTATAGAAGAGCCTAATAAAAAGATATGGTAGAAAAACAAAGACAAATAATAAAAAGATAACAAAAAGTTTAATCTTAATACTACCTTTTAAAGAAGGGATTTCTATTTGCTTTATAGGAACATAAATGCCTCAAATCAAAGTAAATAAGATAAGTAATTAATATAGACATATTTAGAAAGGAATTATCAACAAGTTCAAGCAAAAATTATCTCAAATTATCAAATATTGATATCCAAAGAGGATCAGTTGTCAACCTGAATTGAAATAAAATCCTAAGGCACAAAATTATATACTTATAGAGATTCTAAGAATCTTTAGTAGATTGGAGAGTTGGATTTGAGAGAAAATTAGTGAATAGATTTTTAAGATTTTTTTTTTTATATTAATTTAGTTAATACTTAGTTTTTGAAAGATTTTCAAAATTTGTAATATTTTTGGTTGGAATAGATTTTAAAAAATAAAATTATATTTACAAAATTGAAGGTTTCTTGAGATCTATGGTGTATATATGAGTGAATTTAGAACATTGTGTTAGTGTTTTAGTTGTTAGTATGTGTAAAGATTTTGAGCTCAATCAAAAAAGCAAATCAAAGTGTGTGAAGATTTTTGTAGATTGAGGTCTCAAAAATTGGAATTTGAGGATTAGAGAGTATTTTTAAGATCTTTAGCAATTTTTTGATTGGATTGAAGTGAATTTTTTTGTGTAGAGACTTGAGTTGATTTTTTATATTTTAAGTATATTTTGAAGGCAATTCAATTATTCAAGAAGGAGATATTAGCACTAGAAGTTCAACATTTAGATTAGAATAAGATGCCAACCAACACTCAAGGAAAATTTAGGATTGATCTTCTATTTGGTAAGTTTGATCTTCTTCAAATTTTATATGCTTATTGCCAACTTAATTGTTGAAAGGTGTGTAAAATCTTAAGCAAGATCAATAGTATAATTGATAGATATTTAGGTTCTAAACTACCTTATGATTAGATTAATTTAATTAGGGTTTTATTAGAGATTTAGAAATTGGTTAGAATTTAGGATTTATTTAGATTTTAGTTAAAATTTGTTTTAGGATTAAAATAAAAACTATTAAGATTTTAGATAGGATTAAAGTAAGATTTGGTTGGAATTATTTAAGTTATACTTTAGATTTTATTTAAATACTTCCTTTGAAGTTTTTTAAGATTTCTTCATGCTTCTTTTGTAATTTCTTTGAAGTTTCTTTGGATTGATTAAAGCTTGATTAGCATTGTTAAGATTTAATTGGATTTATTCAAGATTATATTAGAATTAGAATCTTATTGTTGCAATAGTCTTTTTATCTTCTACAGCGAGGTGCTTGATACATTTTTAAGCAAGACTTGACATAATACAACATTAGTAGTGAACTTGAGGAAAAAACTTGAGGTAAGAGGTATTAGAGTTAAATTTTTATTTTATTTTTATTTTTTTTATTAGAAAATAAGAACAAGAATTTTAAAAGAGCTATGGGAAGAGCTTCAAATAAAGCTTCTAATGGAATTTTTTTAAAGGATAAGGTGAAACATGACCAATCTATCTCAAGAGTCTAAGATCCTTCTAATCCTTAATAATATAAAACTTCATTACAAAGTAAGACAAAATGGATCAAAATAAAAATGAATAGAATTAAAAAAAATATGATATAAAAGATAAAATTTGAGCAAACAAAAATAGAATAAAAAAAAATTGAACAAAAAGATGTAAAATCAAACTTTATTAAGAAAAAAGATCTAAAGCTATACATGATTAGATGCCCAAAAGGCCCTAGCTAGTCCTATTTATACTTTATTCAACCACCCTAGAACTTTTTGGAATATTCTTAATGATAGATCTCACTTAAATAACCATCTTAAGTTCTTTCTAGAATGTTTCATGGTAGATCCTACCTAAATAACCACTATAAGCTATTTCTAGAATATTCTATAATAGATTCTATATAATCTATTAATCTAGCTGTAATTCTATAAACTTCTATAATTTTTCAAATATGATTTCAATTATCTATGCATATGTATTAATAATATAAATATCTTATTTATACCTCATTACAATTAATCTCTCTCCCTTAATAAGAAACGTGCTTATTTTGCTTTTGATGGTATCTCCAAATTCTCTCTTGGTAATGGATGAGATTTTGTGTAGGTTCCCATATTGCATCGTAGATGGGATAATCTTTATAAAGAACTTTGTATTGAAGTTGTGAATGTTCAATGCCATAGCAAATGTAGCAATGCTTCAAAATACTATCCACTTCATATTCTTGTTCGTTATCAATCACAACTGGTAGTGGCGGTATTTGGTATTGATCTAAAAAGTGCTTTGATTTGGTATAAAATTTCTTGAATTACAAAACATGGAAGATTAGATGGACCCAAATATGTGGTGGAAGCTTGAGGTGGTATGCAACATAAAAAATCACTGTAGAAATGCGAAAAGGTACAAGCCACCAAAGTGCTAGTTTACAGATTTGGATTGATATATTAAGTGGCAAATTAGTGTTAGAAAGTAACATCTCATCATCCTCTTGTAAGATCTTGTATTGTCGGTGGTTATCTTCATATTACTTCTATTGATTCTATACGACAAAGAAGCAATGTGGTGTCTCTTATAATGCCATTATAAACCATTGTTTAAACTCCTCCATTATCAAGTTGTTGATATCAATATAACAATATATAATAGATATCTAAATATTAGGATATCATGTCTCTCTTAAAATATATACATCAAAAGTATAACATTCTTAGGTATATAAATATACTTCTTAAAATAAAACAAGCCATTATTAAGAGTGTAATTTTGATACT